AAACTAAATGAAAAGAATCATATTAAGTAATTTTTTATTTTATTTTTTATTCTGAAAACAGAAGCATTCGTAATCTTTTACTTTATGTAAATGCGGTTACATATAGTTGCACGGCAACTCTGAACAATAGGAACCCAAGACGAAACGACCTACGAACGCACATATGACCTTGTCAAGGATCAGTCAGAAGGCTAAAAAACCGACAATAGTCGTCCCAGGTAGCACTAAGCGCTAGATAATAGGCAATAATATACATGCCCTGCGCTTAGGGGTCGCCTCAATATGTGCTTTCTGGAGGCTGGTGTCATATATCCCCAAAACCTATTGCTGGAAAAGCAGTCACCTGATCGGTTGCTCAAAGTCATTTTTGCGTTCGTAGGTCGTTTCTTTTTGGGTTCCTATTTTTTAGAGTTGCCGATTGTGCTTATTGCAGGATAATAACTTTCTCTCACCTGTGAGCCTAAATTATGTCTCTGAAATCGTAATATTGCATCAGCTAAATCTTCCTCCAAAACCAAGGCCACTTGAAACCCATAGCAACATAGCAACACGCGTTACAGCGGGGATACGCAATAAAGCCACTCCTTTTACTCTGACCCGTATATCGTCGCTCTAGCATTTGCATACCTCTGACTTTATACTTGTTATTTACTTTTGTTTTCCGTTGATGCATATTTTCAACTCTTCTCTTTGCTGTTGTGTATTGATGTTGACAGGGTAGTGTTGCTTTAAGATCTCAGTTTTGTTGAAATGAAGTCAAGGTTATATCATGTGGCAACTTCCTGGCCATGAATTGTCTAAGGGAGATGCGTTTTGTTCTCTCAGATTCTTGCACACAGATTCTTGATTATACCTTGCTGAGAGTGTTCTTACTGATCTTGTGGTGATTTGAGTTTGTATTTTGTCGGTTAATTTTATTTTTGTCCTGCAAAACCTCCGAACGGCATTACTTGGGCAGTTTCAAATTCTTGAAACATGTTATTGTTGCCTAAGGGCACCACAGATTCTAGTAAGGTAAAACCCATTTTGATTCTGTTGTACCATGGGTCACTGGCAGGAGTTTGTCAGGTAGTTCAGACAAACGCACGGATTGTTCTTCTGCGTTCACACAACGATAACTGCGTTCCGGTGATTACAATTTGCTCGTCTCATTCGACATTCTTGTTTTGAGTCTTCAAAATTTACTGACAAAATAGAGCGAAGGTTGCTACGCCAAATATAAGAAAGATGTTGCGCATTTACTTTCAAATTGGAAGGGATTCCTTCAAAGTACGTTACTATCACTACACCAAAAAAGCCTTCAAATAACCTCAGTGTAATGTATGTTGATACTTATGATGGTATTGCTCCGATCCTCTGTCAACGAAAAATCGTCAAGGCCGCGATGAGGATTGTAGCCTCCAGACTGGCTCAAATAAAGAAGTCCATTGAAAGTCCACTCAATTTTCACCATCGTCGACACTCCTATGTTAAGGTAGGAACCAACAATTATCTCACTGACGACCAATATGCCTAACACCTGGAGGAACGAGGTCTACAAAGGGCAGGGCTAAATGATTAGCTAGGCAGAGAGAACAGGCACTCAACAAGAATATATCAACGGAATAAACTCCTGGGTAATTTCCTGAGAGAGAGAAAAGGAAACAGTGTTTAGTACTCCATCGGTGATAGTTTTTATCTTGTTACACCTATCCTCTGCAACGCAATCCTCAAATATCTCGCGGATTTTGGTTCAATTTCTTCAATGCGTATGCTTTATATAATGCTGTGAACATCGCTTCCGCCTGTGTAAGGTAACATTAAAGGTATTATTCCACAACCCTTTCCTATGTATATTTTGTGTAAGTGAATAATTGTAAATATGCTTACTTCCCGTTTATGTTATTTATCTTACTGATGATGCCCGTGAACTAGCGTCCCTGGTGTACGAAAACTAAGACAATATAATTATAATTATATATTCATCACGGTAATGATTATTCTCAACATCCGACAAGAATGAAAGCAGAAGCACAGGTCAACACTATCACAGTTTACTATATTAACCCTTCAACCATGAAGTATTCTTGACAATATGCAACACGAACGCGAATTACCACAACGACTCCTGCAGATGCGAGTATGACTTCCATAAGGATATAGCTTGGTGCTCTCTGTGCGACAACCTCTTGCGCGTAATAGCAATTTCTGTCTCCTCTGTTTACCTACTCTTCCTAGATCGGAACAATAGTGACGCATGCGTGTAAACTTCCTCGCGTCACAGACCTCAGTCGTCGACGGGAACAACTTGACGTTGCTGATATCCATACATTGGCGAAATCTTGCTCACATGTTTTTTGAATGCTTCCCCCTCTATATCATCACACTTTCAGCGCACATTCACTCTGATATTATACTTCGCGGCGAATCTAATACCATTTTATGGTTTTAGCTTCATTGTCGTAAAATCACAATATAAATTCGTGAGATTTGAAAGAACCGCGGAGTCAAATGAAGTGAAAGTTTGTCATAATATACGAAATAGAATAAAATATAAAAAGCACTGATTACTTGCCTGATCTCGGCACTACGAACATGTTCAGAGGTTACACTGGATACGTACAAATATGAATATTGTATACAATCAGTATACATGTAATTGAATGCAAGTGAGTAAAGCAAATCTGCTTAACAAGTTCATTTTAAATACAATTCATGTGTGCACACATGCAAATAATGCACCTAATTCTGTGAACTATGCCTTGATGTAGCATTAAAGTAATTTCGTCTCATAGGTAATCTCTGAAATCCACCACTAGCTTGGGTGGGTATATAAAGCATATTCTGCTACATCTCAGTCGCATCGTTTGTATACTCTGCCAAAAGACTTAAAACATGAAAGACTTCCAATACGTCGACCAAAATTATTGCAATCTGTACGCAGTGTGATATACTGGAACTTGAAGACATTTCGTCTAAGTAATGTAACTTTAAGCATAGGGAGCTTAGGTTATGTGAGGAATGAGGCAGAGTGCCTGGCTTGAAGCTCTTGGGATCAAAAGCGCCAGAACCCACGATCCTGAGGTTAACAGTGAATTTCCTCTTGGGATTGCATAACTTAAAAGTTATAGCGTGGTTGAACAGTGGGGCACTATTCCCCCGATCTGCGTACTCTTTTCCGCTAAAAATGTGGAATGGATATGAAAACTATGACAAAAAATACGTAGAACGTTTGCTACTCCTCCCAATCCCTACAGACCCTTATAGTCCGCCGCAACAGGGTATATCATTGATAGTTGTAGACAGCTCTATATTGCGCCTGTCTTTACTTCAAAGGCTGCTCTGAGGCTTTCACTGTTCCCTACATGATATTTCGTATCATTATATGGGTGTTAAATAAGGTTTATATACTTTTGCTGCATTCCGCAGTGTTAAATTTATTTCCAAATTACTTCACCGTTGATGCTATCGGAGATACTTACAGGGCTGATGAAGCTGAAACGCAGAGTTAACCGTCAATACCGACTCTGCCTAATGATGCATTGTGTCCCAAATTTAGACACGAATGTCTTGTTTTTCCTCAATCCATACTTATTCGGGCTAAGTTTTCCACCTAAGGCACTTCTATTCCTTCCAAGATGGTGCCATTTAATTGCTGAATGAACAGAAGCGTGATCCCGTTCCACTTCTTGAAAAGGCTGAGGTCGTCCTTCTTTGGCAGGCTTGCAAAGTAACATGTGATCTCTTCTCTTTTGCAGAAGTGGTGTTAGCGTGCGAGGTGAGCCCCCTGCATCTATTCAAAGCGGTATCTTAAGACGAGTTGAAGCAAGTGGTCTATTTAAGAGTCCCGCCATGTGGTCCTCCCCTGCACGTGCATGATGATTCTGTCTTTCCCGATGTCTTTCGTTGCTTTCATGTGCATTGACCTCTTCCAAATTAGCGAATCGTTAATTTAGGGAAATGTTCTGAGATCTCCCTTACCCTCGGCCTGTTCTGCATCAGTTGCGGCTATGTCCTAGAATACTTTCTTGTCTTTCATAACACTATCCATCGCTTATTTGTTCAGTGCTCTACAGATAATAAGTTTTCCTTTTTATTTTTCACCTACTGTTTGACCACTTTTCTCTAAACTATCGGTTTTTATTCGTCTGTAAAACACCTCTCTTTGCCTTTTCTTGTTAACAAAAATTTCCATACTATTTTTCCCTAACATCGCTTACAGAAAATTCCGTTGTTCTTCACTCAGACTGCATCGTACCAGACTGTCTGCACCTATTTCACTGTCCAGTAGTTGGTGTCTCCACTTTCCTGTGATTGAAATGAAGTCTACCTAGCATTGATACGTGCTTCTGGTGTGTATCTTCTTACGTTCTAATTCAAATCATGAAGCCATTAAAGGCTCTGAGGTCTGTGGTGATTTTGGTTGGGTAAATTTGAGAACGAACCACTATATGTATTAGACAGTTATTTCATTATGTGGCGGAAAACTCAGTGATGTGAATAACATAAGACAGGGTAGCAAAACAGGGAAGCTACCAAATAGCTTCCGCATTTGTGTAGGATGTTACTCTTGGATACAGTTAGTCAAAGTCTTAGCTGGTGGCATGGCAACTTACTTTGCCTACTCATTATTCAATAATTCAGAAACCATATGCGACCAAGTCAAAATGACCCAAGTCGCAGTTACCAGTGGTTATGACTGTGACTAATAGTTTTTGTGTGGTGAGCGCTAATTATAATCAGATATAAGTATTTTATCAGCAAAAGAGTTCAGAAAAGCAACTACATGTCTCGAACACTGGAAAATCAATCGAAGAACAGAACTGTGAGGAGAACGTCAGAAACACTGTGCAGAATACAGCAAGTTGTCGAATGTGTTAATATTCGACTAATTTGCAAATACAGCATTAGAGATATGGTGTACCAAATTTATGTACCTACAATGAGTATATCCTAATAAACATTCCTTCGAGCCTCATCTTTCTTTTCTTCCTTACAGCAGCTATACAAACGACTATTCTTAAAAATATTTCAGGCTCTACGTGGTAAATCTGTGTAAAGACGATGATAGTTCATGTTTGTCTTTTGTTCTTTAGAGAAAACTAGCCTCACTGTTACTTTTCTTGAAGTTTCCAGTCAGATTTGTTATAAACACGCACGGTTCAATTTTCTAGACCTAGCAAACAACGTGGGAAAACAACATTGAGGATGTACTTGATCTTGTATTATGGTCTTATTGTTATTACTTGTATTCCTATTTTGTATCGAATTCCGAAAGTGCAGTACTACACCAGATTCACTGTTTTCTGTGGAGTGATTTTCATTGGATCATTCTACTACGCTATCAGTCTGGCTTTTCATGGGCGGAGCTATACAAATGCTTGGTATTAACCTATTTGCCTTCGTTATTACTTTACAAGGAGGTTCATAAAAATTATGTCTTTTTCTGGGCGGTTGATTGGTTTGTATCCTGTCGTTGAAAATCCTGAGTTACTGTCTGAAGAGCCATGTATATATGTGTGTAATCATCAAAGTTGCATTGATGTAGCAAGTACTAAGTCTTGCATATCATCACTCTTTGTGACATTTCAGGTGCTGTTGGTGTGTGGCCGAAGCGTTGTACCGTCGTTTCTAAGGCTTCACTTAGACTAGCAGGCCCCATGGGAATAGTAATGTGGCTGTGCAAGACCATTTGTATTAACCGTTCGCGTCACAGGGATGCTATTTCTGCAATGCAGAAGGCTGCTGAAGCAGCCAAAAGAGATAATGTAAATGTTTAAAGTTTATTACTAACTATCATAGGTTTCTGTTTTTATATTTCCTGAAGGCACAAGGTCTGATAGCGACACCCTTTTGCCTTTTAAAAAGGGAGCCTTTCATATGGCCATCCAGTGTCAAGTAATATCTTATATCGCTTTATATTTACGTTCAGTTCCCAATTCAGCCTGTTGTTGTTGAGCCATACAAAAGGTTCTTAGATCACAAAAAGAAAATTTTTGAAGGTGGTAAGTTAAATACATCAGTCCTTCAATGCTGAATCGGACGTTTTCATAATTTTTGGTGATGTATTATATTGGTTTTTGATTTTAAAGTAGGACCATTCTTTGTCCTGCAATAGGTCCAAGTACCGAGTTTTACATGGTGAGATTTGCATCAGTGATGCACTGGCTAGTCATATCACAGCTCGTATTACGAAATGTTTGTTTCATAAAATACTTGCATAATTACAGTATTTCTAAGCTGTCATTAGTTGTACGCTTTTTAAAATCGTAATTTGTGGAAGCTTAGTCGAATCCATTTTTGGTATCTCTTCAGATTCTATGTAGTTTGGTAAAATATAAAATATATTGGGGAATAGATAATCACCATCCTCATCTAGGGCTACAAATGTCCTTTACTTCGATCTCGAAATCAATTTACCAATCATTCTAACAAGGTATAACAATTTATATCGGGATTCGTCTTTGACTGGTGATCAGAATAGCAGTGTGCTTCCAACTGCGTTGAACAAAAGCTATAAAATTTGCTATGACAAGTGTCGCGACATTGTTGCACACTACCCTTCAAATGGTAGAAGTCGATCACAGTAGAAAGCTCATAATCTAAGTTGGGTGCTTGTTAGCAGTTGTTTGGGAAGTGTATGGGCAATATTTAACACCATTTGTACTGGTTTTCAGGATCAACCAGTATGTTGGTTCAGTGGCTTGTGAGTCGGTTTTTTGTGATTTCGCCTACAAGTGCTGCTCAGACTCAAATCGGGCTTTTGGCTAGTTTAGGCGGTTCACTCGATGTGCAGAGGCTTGTAAAACCACCAGGTTTTCTAAAATATTCGTCTATCTATCATGAGACGTGTGTACTCTGAAGCATTGTGCCCCGTCTTTCACGGCTGTGAGACAAAGCTGTTAATAACGGAGGATGCAAAAGAATTATCTCTTTCGATCCCATGTCTAGGTTCATTTCCTCGTGGTGGTTGTTGTAATATCGTCAACTAATCCTTTTTATTCTTTGTATAGTAATCCTTTCTCCCTTAAATTTTGGTTTATTGTAGTCCCATTGAATTCATGTTTTCAACTTTAGTAAAATGTGGCTACGTGAATTGATACACTTTTGGAAAAGTTCTGTATAGTTCAGTCAGTTTTAGGCTAAATTGGAATGAAATGTTTATCAAAAACCTCTTGTAATTCCATCCATTCGGCTTATTGTGTGAGGACTAGTCATACTACGTGGCTGCCAAAACCTCGGTAGATGAAGCGCATTCAAACCTGTGATCCGCTACTTGGAAGTCGAGCGTCTAGACCAGTGAGCCACAGCTCCACCCAGGCCAAGTTAGTTGGAACCAAGTACTAATTTAAGATCTGTTGATTAGAAGTCAACCCCGTAAGCCGGTCAGTGAGACGTATACAATCCCAGCCAGAATTTTTGAGAAATAAGTTTTATGTTAAATCTTTGTATTCATCAGCAGTGCAACCATACGGAGCTTTTGTGAAAAGCCAGGAGATTTGGCCACTAGTATGCACAATACCATTATGGGTAAATTTATTGCTCATAATCATATCACCTTGATATGATTATGAGCAATAAATTGTGCTCGAAACGTCATCAGTAAATATTACTGTATAACACTGTGAGACTCTATCAAAATAAAACTTACCCATAATGGAATTACATTCTACCACAGTGCCCAAGTTTTATTCTTATATCAGTATGCACAATAGATGTTGTGTTGTCGTGAGAGTTGTTTGCTTCAAAACAGTCAGTAATTATTTGGAATTAGTAAAGCAAGTTGGTATTTAGTTCACTGACCTTATTACTTAATTTCCAGTGGGTTGGTTACGGGCTCGAATTCCGTTTTACCCCTTTCACGTTGATCCACTGACTGGTATTATCAGTCCTGATATCATCATTTTGGCTTATAGCCTAGCACATGGAAATTCTTTTTCAGGTAACTGAATTCTAACGGTGAAGCCACATTAGAATCTTGAGTATCTAAAGTACTCACGAACATTTTATGTATGTATAGACTGGTCGTAGTCTGACTAACTGGTATTACTATAATCTTCAGTTTCTTGATGTGTGCGTTCCACATCTTATAACTGGGAAGCCAGTGCATAAATGGTTATATTGCGGAAAAAGTCGTCTTGGAGACTAAACGCTCGAAAACCAGGTTAAAACACTGGTTCTTACAGCATGTGTGAATAATGGTATGGAGCATATTACAATGTTGTGTTTCGTTACTTATTGGTTAATCTCGATTAGATTATATGTGAGGAAATTTGTTTGTAACACCTCGCTGTTTGTAACTTCTATATGAATAACCTCAACGCCGATGTAATATACAATTTTGACTTTTTATTTTAAAATAATTGTAAAGCACTTCGCTTCAAATTTTCGTGTAAAATTCTCTATTTTATTTATTTTCACAACGTAGCTACATACAGAGTGAGGGTTTTGCCAAGAATTGACACAAAAGGTATGAATGCGTCGCAAGTTGATGAACTTCTCAATGAAACTCGCACAAAAATGGTCGAAGCATTTGAGAGTATGAAAGTTTCGACCTTTTAGTCAGCGAATTTTCATGGTCATTAAGTATTTATTTATTTTTATTCATATTACCCAACGAAAACCAAGTTCTATTGTCAAACTGTTATTTTCTGTGTTAACGCCTATATAAATTGGCTGCTTAACCCAATCATTTACACTTAGCTCATGATAATCACTCTTGTTGATATTTCATGACATTATTTGTAAACTATGTAAATTATGGAATTTAGCTCATACTTTCTTTTGAAATAAATTTTTAAAACGGAAGTCCTCGTGATTATTTCATTATTTCTTTAAATTTAATACTTATTTTATAGTTTGGTTTGTAAGGGTTAGTTTTGTTTTTACGAGTTGATCACGGATTGATATCAGTTAGAGAAGTCGGCTGGTTAATTTCAGGATATTCTGATTTTAACCGGTCGACTTCAAGCTACAACTACCTTTGTAGTCTTTTACAAATTTCTGTCCAGCCAGTTGTGATTGTTATATTTTGTATGGTAATGATAACTTCATGATTGAGTTTATGCTTCTTCAAAAAGATTATGCTTGAAATAATGCCGCAGCGAAAAATTGTGATTGTACCGCTGTATGTACAAGCAGTTAAGTATGAGTTCTTAGTTTGAAGGCATACAGCTTTCGAGTTGCAAGATGTGAGATTATGACAGAGAAACTTGTGATAAGACAAGACCATTGTCATTTATATGAATAATCAGTAGAAGATTTGTACAATATTTTGACACACTGCGTATATTCCCTTGCATCTGACGATATTCTGGAGAAAGTTTTGGAGAATGTATCAACTTGTGGTAGTAGATCTGCCCTGCTAAGATTTTCTAACTGGGGTGTTTCACGTCATGGTGTTAGTGTGCGTTGGTATGTGGGCTGTCTAAGTCTCATTTAATCAATTGGGACTTGATGTGTGGAAACGAGATTGAGGATAGCTTATGCCTGCATGCATACTCACAAGCCAACCATTAGGCGTAGTTATAAAGTCCTTGTATTCTAATACTTGTAGTAATGTGATTGATGATTATTGCAGCATGGTTGCTTCTTTAGCTATAAGGTGTCCTCCGTAACCTATGTTTGGATTTTAACTTTTTATCTGACTGACTCACTGGTTCCGACATACAACTTGGCACAGAAGTGCAACAGTTCGAGTTGCCACGCCATGTAGCACACAGGAAGACAAAAGATGGGATAAAAGAGTTTCGTAAGAACAATTATAAGCAGAAATATACGGCAGAAAGAATAGTAACACAGAAAAACAGTAGGCTTTTAATGGACATAACATATCACGGAGAGTGAATGCATCTGCGCCATTGAGAACGATTTTGAGCCATATAACCAATCAAAAATATCCAACACAGTCCTACAGGAGGTCATTCGCGAGTCTGAATAGCTCAGTGGTAACGTCTCTGATTGCAGCACTAGGTGACACGGGTTCGAATCTCAGATGGGACATCAGTTCCTTCAAGGTTGCAGATACGCCTTGCTGATGAGTGCCAACTAGCACGAAACCTAGGTCCAAGGCTTCCTGCCGATTGCCTCCAACCATCTAATATAACCAACTGTCTACAGCCATTAGAGCTTGCGATCCCAAGGACTCCAACCAGGAACTATCCACTTCCCTACATGGCTGTCTCAAACTAACTATCAAAGATTTCATGGACTGGTTTCAAGTCTTGGTTTGACCACCACTAACCCTTATCCAACTTGATCCTATGTCAGCTAACATTCCCCGTCGAGGAGGGCAATGTCTAGGCAAACATAACATATGTTCTAACCATCTCAGTCGATGTTGCTTCACAACCTCATCATTTGACTTTCCCTTCTTATCGAACACTCGATGCCTAACCTCAATACTCCTATTATGTCACCTAACACAGGAGGTAGAACGGATCAAAGACAGCTAGCCTTTTCACGTCTTCCACTTTCAATGGCCATGTCTTACAGCTGTGAAGGAGAACGGAGCGAATTGATGCGCAGTACACTCGTCCTTTGATGGATAGCCGGATATTACGTGCACGCCAAATATGACGTATGTTGGCAAGTGCCACAGGAGACTTTTATCTCCGAGGTGAGATCTCGTCGACTATCAGCCCGTTGTGGTCAACACGCCCTACCAATTCCCTCCTTATCTGTATACTAGCAGTCTATGTAGTCCATTTAGGCTCTAACCAATTGAATTTACTGTTTTTTCATAATGGTCATCTTTGTGCATGATGGTTTGTTAAATTATTTCTGGCTGGAATTATCAGTCAATTTGATTGGACATTAACTGTTGTCATGCGTCTAGTTCTTTTGTTTGGTGTTGACATTGCAAACTCGACTGACACAATTCAGTCTGTGCCAAACAAAGTACTTGATGCATAGCACTAATCAGCGTCCAGTCCAAGTATCCAATATAGTCCTATAGGAGGTCAGTCGTGAGCTTGACTAGCTCAGTGGTAACGTCTCTGACTGCAGCAATAGGTGACATGGGTTCGAATCTCAGAAGGGACATGAGTTCCTTCAGGGTTGCTGATACGCCTAAGTGGTGGGTGCCAACAAGAACGAAACTCTGATACAGGGCTTTTTGCTGATCGCCTTCAACAATCTCATATCGGCAGCCAGGATGTTTAAAGAACAGTTAATGGGGCAGGCGTAGTTCAGTTGTACTTTTCTTTGTGACAGGTTGTAATAATAGTAGTGCCCCACAGAGTTAACTGTTTTGTCAGTGTTTTTCCTTATGATGATGAATGGGCTAACAAATGTTCACCCTTAAATAGTTCTTACTTTACAGGAAACCAGTTTACCTGCTCGCTGGTTTTCTAACCGCACAAGAAAAATATTTAAAACACAAAAAAGATTTTAAAAAACCTATTCTTAACTGGAATCGAATAGGCGAAATGACGAAGGCTGGTGAAAGCCTTCGGGAAGCCAGTCAGCCGATGTGGCTTCTTTCGACGAGAGCAAAAATAAGAATGGGGGCATGGATTGTCCATACGATGTATGAGGCTGAGAAGGCCGCGCAAACAGACAAAGAATGTGTGGCATAGAATTGGTCAGAATCTGCAGGAGCAGATGAAATAGATTTAGACTGTCAAAATTGTCAACTGGGGAGTCAGTAATCTACTCCGGTCTTGTCACCCAGATGACAGCCACGGGCACACTGAGGCGGAGAGTGGTTATCATGATGTTACGAACAGCACCAAAGCTCTAATGAAGTGGCAACCAATTTCATCCAGGATCATGGCAGCAAGATTCAACTCAGAAGGAAGGAAGGAAGGTTACAATTATCATGTAATGTTACGCGCAATGCTACAAACAACGCGCAACAAGAGAAGAAGAAAGATTTTTACAGACAACTACAAACAGCAGTGGAGAACATCCCGAGTGGCAACATCGAAATCCTTATGGGTGATATGAATGCAAGCCTAACTGGGAGCAGACAACACAGGAAGAAAACTCATCATTGCTGGAGAGGCTCTCGACGAAATGAATGAGAACGGAGAATTATTCGCAGACTTCTGCGCTTTCAGTGATTTGGTGATTGGAGGTAGCGTATACAAGCACAAAGATATACACAAGACAACATGAATTTCGTCTGACGGACACACCACAAACCAGATAGATTTCATCTCAATATTGCTGAAGGAAGTGGAGACGCAGTCAGTCCGCTAAACACAAAGTCGAGAAGGGGAGCAGATGTGTGCTCAGACCATCATCCAGTTGAAGGAACCTTCAAGGTGAAGCCGGAATTCTCTAGAATAAGCGGAGACAGACCACAATTCAAGTTCAACATTCAGAAACTAGACTGAAGGACAGAACTACAAGGCATACCTTCACTAGAGATTAGATCAGAGAAATTCGGATACACTACGTGATATAACCGAGGGAACCTGTGTGTAAGAACATTGAAACTAATCCTCTGAAGATGATGTTCAAGGAAACATGTACAACTGTTCTAGGAAGAAAGAAGAGACAAGACAAGGAATGACTCTCAATGGACACCTACCTGGAAGCTAACGGAAGAGAGGAGAGGAGGATGGTGAAAGAGATGACTCAATGCAAAGATGGACAAGAGAAGGAGAAGATGAGTTCAATGTACACTGCCCTGAGTAAAAGGTGAAGAAGAGTGATAGGAGAGACAAAAGACAATTCTGCAAAACACTGGCAACTGAAACAGAAGAGGCCGCAGGTGATAGAGACCTCAGAACATTATATCATATATCCAGGAAACTTTAGGGAAATACAAACTCAGGAGAAACGTATAAAAGACAGTCAAGGGAACCTGATTATCAAGGAAGAGAAGCAAATAAAACAATGGGCTGGCCAATTGAAAGGACTCTTGAATCGACCATCAGATGCAACTTGCCCACAAATACACCAACAGCACGCACAGAACTGCCTGCCAGTGGAGACCAATCCTCCAAAGAAAGCAGAAATCTTGGGTACAATCCAGTTACTAAAGTCTGAGATGGCAGCAGGGCCAGACGGAATTCCTTCACCCCGAAGTAGTGAAAACGGACCTCGAGACTGCGGCAGATATGCGGACGCCATTATTGCAATAGGTTTGAAAGGAAGGAATGTTGTCTACCGATTGGAAGAAAGGCTGGCTGCTTTTTCAAGCTCCCAAAGAAGGGCAACCTAGTTAGGCCTCTGAAAGAGCTGGCGTGGAGTCATGCTCTTGTCCACACCAACTACAGTACTAAATCGCATCATCCTGGAAAGAATGAAAGATGCACTGGATACAGAACTCCGCTAGCCGGGACAAGCTGGATTCAGGAAAGGCAAATCATGTGCTGATCAAAATGCAACTTTACGCATCGTCATTACAGAACAAAGCATAGAGTGGCAGTCAAACCTCTATCTCAACTTCGCCGACTTTGTTAAAAGGCCTTCAGCAGACAGCGTCGACCGAGAAGTAATTTGGAAACTACTGCAACACTATGGAGTGAAGTGCACAACTCTTTATCAACCTCATTCAACAGCTGACTATATGATGATGCCTCGTGTCAGCTGATCCACAATCGAAAACTCAGCGAGTCGTTTGAAAAGAATTCAGACTGCCTGTTATCATCAATGATATTTATAATTGTGGTGGACTGGAATATGTGTCAGGCTGTGTGCAGGGAGTGAGAAGACAGGAATACGCTGGACCACTGATAAGAAGATTCCAGGAGATCTGGATTTCTCGTGTGGATGATTTATGTTTAATGTCTCACAAACGTGAAAACTTGCAGGTGAAAACCAACAAACTATCCGAAAAGGCAGGCAGTGAAAACTGGTCTCTGAGTG